GTCTTCTTTTGTAAAAAGTGCTTTTGGCACCGTAACTTTCATTCTTGTCCCGTCTGATGCTTCCAAGCACCATTTAACTACAATGGCGACCGCCTGCGTCTCATGCCAACGTTAAAGGATGGCTTTTTCGCCATGTCTGACGCCACAAGTCACTGCCCAAGCACCGGATTTCAACAGCTTTGGCGTGAGACAGGGTTGTGTAGTACTTTTTAAAAACTGAACGGCAGTGTCTCTTTCCATAAATCATGATCTGGTTACTCAAGATTCCTGGTTACGTACTTTCTACACCCGCCAACTGTATCACTGCACAGAGGGAAGCATCTACTGCTAGCTCACCTAGCACCACTGAGATAGATAAGGATACAGCTCAGCCAAGGAAGACGCCATTTATCTTTACATCTCGTGCTGTCACAAGCAGAAGCCTCTTGTCAATGAATAGATGCATGCTTCCTGCTCACAACAACGTCTGTGGATTATCTTGAGTAACCGACTCATGAGTTATAGAAACAGACATTGCTGTTGGGTTTTCCAACTATATTGCAGACAATTCTACAGCTGATATCTCCAAATCCTTGCAGCTCACACCAAAACAATCTAAACTGTAAATGAGTACTTCAGTTAAGAGAAAAATATGTATTTTTGATTTTAGGGTGAACTGACTGAAACAAACACAAAGTGACAGGAGAGTAGAAGAACCAGTGGTTCAATACCCCTCTTCAATCTTTTCTTTTTTTCTTCTTTGTTCCTCTCACTGCTCCTTTCGGCATCTGTCAACCTTCCTGGGTGGTTTGTAAGTGTGGTCAGCTCACGTACTGTATGCATGTGTGTTTATTTAGTCTGTATAGGGGAACAGAGCCATGGCCTCTGCCAATTTTCTATACACTGAAAAAATATGCTTTTGGACAGATGGAAAAAGGGGAGCAGTTAAACAGACTCAGGGCCAACAGATACAAGACCCCTCCTTCCTCAAATCAACCGCCACAACTACCGACCCTGCAGACTGAGGAACGTGCACCTCTAAATTGTACGGCTGCTTTTCCATGAGAGAAATTTTCACAAAGCACGGTGGTGTAGTGACTTAAGAGTCAACCATTTAAAGGAATACTTAACCTCCTCAAATAACCATTTGCATTTTAGTTACTCACCCCGTGTTACATTGAATTTGTGAAGACAACTTTGTTTTCCTCACATGCCTCCACAGTGAACGAAGAATCCAAAAATAGAGAAACTTCTTGATGAATTGAAGTCATAGGAGTCCATTCTCCATTTTTTGGATTTTTCCTTCACCAGAGGCATGTAATAAAAACAAAGTTATCTTCTCAAATTCAATATAACACATGGGCTAAGTAATTATTTTATACACAAAATCATTTGGGGGGTGAAGTTAGCTTTTAGGAGAACTTCCTCCCAGTAATATGTTGAATCCTTTTCAGCCTGAGCAAAGCATTGTGTAACAGTCCGAGGGAAAGGCCCAGCAATACATTTTCATTCTAGCGTAGATCACATTAAATGGTTAATCCTAATTTATGACTGGCTGAGTAAATATCTCAGACTCCTATAAAATACCCAATTAACGCACACAGAACCTATCCAAACAAAAAGCTACAGCTGCTGTTGAACGCCGTGACGTCTTAACACAGCTGGAACGCAAACACACACACGTGCATTTTCTCATACAGCTGAGAGGCGTAACTGAAACATTCATCATTACCATGATATCTGCCTCCTCACACTGCGTGCTCCTTATGACCTGGCCTTCGGGTAAGAAGCTGCGATATGATAAAGACCACCAGAATACTCAGATCTGATATAGACTTACCAGAGACAGACAAACACATGGAAACACTTTAATGACTAACTTGAACCCAATAAAGACATCATGAGTAAATACATAAATCCAAATACCATCGAGGTTCAAAGTGTCATTTAAAATTTAAGGATGAGCACATCCTCGGCTGTTTAATCTCCGTCTTTGTAGAGTGTAATTTAAAACAGTGAATTTTACTCCTCGATTTAGTGGGATATTATTTCAAAGAGAGAAATAAAAGAGAAAGAGTCTGTATTAAAAGCTTGGGTGTTGATTTAAATGACTTTATAACACAGAAAATCAATTTTCATGTGTTATTTGTAAAGATCAAATGTCTGTGGATGAACTCTGGCAAAAATCACTCCTTCATAACAAAATTTAATAGCTTAAGGTGGATGATAACTGAGCTCATCATTGTCAAACAATGTCATCACAATTATTGTCATTATAGAGCTGATACACGAGTACAAAAACACGCAGACACAGAAGTTAAAAAACTTGTTTGGCCTACTCCATCAACTCAAGGCCACTGAGGAAGTGTTTAGCCGAGGACTGGAGCTGTGAGAATGGATGGACTGACTGACTGGAGGGGAGGAAAAGAGGGGAGGAGCGCTTGGAGTAGCGAGTACTGAAGGGAGAGAGGAGGGTTTGAGTGAGAGAGGAGAGGAGGGTGTAGGAGTTTGGGGCATGTGAGGAAAAGAAGGAGGAGGGGAATACCACCCACTAAGCCAGTTGTGGAGAGGTTCTGGGGGTTGGGCTGCTCACAGGAAACAGTTGTGGCTCCATCCCAGGCCTCACACCGAGCAGCTCTGGGCCACCCAGTCATCGACAGACAGACCAAATGGCCTGGCCGGGCCAAACCGACAGGGATTTGTTTATTTTTCATCCTTTGGTGGTGGGGGGAAAATTGTTCAGCACAAGCTGTTTATTAGACCTTTGATTTGTCATGTGTCAGCGTTCGCTTGCGGGGAATGTGTATACATAAGTCCAGCTTGTGTATAGTTAGGAGGTTTGGAGGCTGAGAGGGTGTGGGCACGGAGGCTGGGGGGCAAGAAGAAAAGAGGAAAAATGGGATGCCTCCCACGCTGAAGGCAGGTCTGAACTGCATTATGGGTCATTCTCCAGCTGTCCCTGATTGTTGATGTCATGGGGGACTGAACTGTTGTGCCTGGTTTGCAATGGGTGTGGGAAGAGAGGCAGCATGTGGACAAACACAGGATTCCTGTGGTCACATGGATGAAATGCAGTAGGCTAAATAGATCAGTGTTTAGCAGAATTTGGGTACAACAGTGGACTGATCAGGAAAAAGCACCAGTTAAAACTTACTGGAAGTATCAAGTCATGGATTCACAGCAGCCTTGTGAATGTATTATGGTCATAAAGCAGACCTGCTCATTGATTACTGTCACACATAATATATAGCAGGGTTGGGCAATATATTGATATTATATTGATATTGTGATATGAGGCATGATATTGTCTTGTAGATTTTGAATATCATAATATGGTAAATGTTGCCTTTTCCTGGTAGTAAAGGCTGCATTACAGGAAAGTGATATAATTTTCTAAACTTATCAGACTGTTCTAGTGAGATGTAAACATTAATGGCGTCCTCCTTGTCTAAGCTGGGTTACATTATTTGTATGTATACTGTTTACTGTGATTTTCTTCGTGTACCTTATGTATGTATGTGGCCGAAATTTACATAAATGCCTTTGACGAAGTTTCAGGACACTGGTCCCCATCATTTTGACTGAGCCTCAAGGCATGATGTTTACAGAAGGGGAGGGGGGTTGTTTGGTGCCATCACAAACAGCGCCTTAAAATTAATGTACAACTGGGGAAATTACCACCATACTTATCCATCTAATTATTTTGTAATGTTGTTCCTACATAGGCCTATATAATTATGTTGTTTAAGCTGCATATATGTAATATTTACCTGAAATTAAAATGATTACAATTAAGACATTGTATTCAGTAAACAGACAGAGGCATTATTTTCAGATGAGAAATAAGCTTAAGCTTTATTTACAGAAAAACATATTGTTATATCATGTCCAAGCTATCTTTGGTTACAGATTGCTAGTTATCATGTTAAAAGTGTAATAAGCAATAGAACTATTTTACTTATTTCATCAAAGTAATGTAACTTATTACATTTGATAACTTTTCCAACAAATATTTTAAATGGGGCAATAAAACTAAAAAGATGTACAGAAAAAGAAAAGATGCAAAGCAGCAGAATTGTACATATAAACATCATTTTACCAGAAAGAATTTATTGTAGCAACGCCCACATTTCCCATTGTGCTGGACTGAGTAGTTTGTAGTGTTCTGTTCCAATGTCATTTTTTTTGTTATCGTCTATGGTGTGTCTGTACAGAATATGATGGTTTATGCTAGTTATTGTCGTTTGTGTGTTAGTTTACAGTTTGCAGTATTAGTGAGTTGGTTATCCCACTTCATGACACTAGTTATATTTTCCCATTGAGCTTTTACATCTTATAGTAAACTGATACATAGCAAGAATTTATATAAATATGAAGAGCCACTTCTTGATCCCTAGGGAGCAGAAGCTGTCAGAATATTAGAAACTTTGTGATTGGTAACTGTAATTTAATTACATATTTTTTTCTCAATAAGTGCAACAAATTACAGTTACGTTTAATTATGTGTAACTAGTTAGTCCCGAACACTGTTTGGATGTAATTAAATATACTAGCTGTACGAAGAGTTTAAGTGTTTTGGGAAATCTAATCACTCCATGTGGTGACTAATTGCCTATAAATTCTTAACAGTGAATCGGCTATGATGAGCTCATCATATGCTCTTGCATATAAAACATCTTTCTGCAAAGTGGTGACACGGACATCTAAATGGTGCAGTTAAGTACAAAGAATTCTTCCCTCTAAAATGTAACCGTGTGGTGCAAAAGTATAGGGTCACAAGCTTGGTCAAAATCATTTCTGAAGGGCCTTTACATAATGCTATTTTTAGAGACTCCTAATTTGCAATGAATGTTGCAATCACAAAACCTACAGTTTGTGAATTTCAATTTTAAAATCTGATTCTCATTGCAGAGGTAATTCATCACTGTTCCAGGTAGTGGCAGTATAAGGCCCATTTGGCTTTCACCTACACAAAAAAGACATAGAAGAAGAAGACCGCAGACGAGGACCAATCAGATCTTTTAACACCCGGAAATAACATCCGTTTCAATTTGAAACTTTGGCGGCGTTTAATTTGGCAGGTAGGTAAGTTTGCTTGACGCTAGTTAGTGAGAAAAGATTAACAAACTACTTAAAGAAGAATAATATTATTACAGTTCGATTATGTATTGGTTAATTTATCGACGAAAAGAGAATATAGTTCTGTAGCGAACACAACATACCTGCAATATAGCGCTAGTTAAGCTAGCGTTACCTGAATTTTGATTTCTCCGTTACAGCACAGAAAAGGAGCAAAAATGGAGGCCAGCATGTCCAGACTTCTTGTTGGACTGTCTGTAAAAATCAGTCGCAGTGATGGTGAGCTGATGTTTTCTGTTGTATCGTTTACTCTTCAGATAATTACGCTGTATATTGCTAACAAAGCTTGATGTTGACTTGTTGTTTGTGTAAATCAGGTCGAGTTCATCTGGCAATGGTGAAGTCCGTGGATTCCGTTAAGTCCACGGTAATGGTTGAGTGGAATGAAAGAAAGATCTGCCGAGGAAAGGAGGTCAGTAAGTCCATAAAGACAGACAAGACATTTGTTGCATTAGTGATAATGTGAACCTGTCAGGGACGCTGAGAGAAGCCATGAGCCATGACGTTAACGCCTTTATAATAGACATGGCATAATAACATCATTCTTTGTTTTAACATGACTTTGAATGGCCAGGATAAATGATATCTAATCTATCTTATCTAGTTATTAACAGTTACACGAATTTTAAGAGCAAACCGTGACACTACAGACACTATATTTTATACTATAGGCTATTTTTGTCAAAGCTCTCCACACTTACTACAAATCCTTACTCCAGACTACCAAAACATTATGCATCTCTTGCAAAACCAAACAATTCTTGCTAAACTGTTTGCTAAAGTTTTGTTACACATGTACGTAATAAAAACACATACTCACAAGTGAGTAAATAATGGATGAGTCACCCCATTTGTGTGTCTACCCATGAGACTCAACTTATTTATCTGTCCAATATTGGTGTCCGTTGTTGTCAGAACCAAATGTTAACCTGTGATTGATTTGTAAGTGATACAATCCTGTTGGGGGTCACGGGGGGCTGGTGGGGGCCTATCCCAGCTGACACTGGGCGAGAGGCGGGGTACACCCTGGACAGGACAGCAGAATATTGCGGGGCTGACACATAGAGACAGACAACCATTCACACTCACAGTCACCAATTAACTTGACGTGCATGTCTTTGGATTGTGAGAGGAAGCCGGAGTACCCGGAGAAAACCCACACTGACACGGGGGGAGCATGCAAACTCTGCACAGAGGCTCCCACCCCGAGGTTCCCGAGGAACCCTCTTGCTGTTAGGCGACAATGCCAACCACTGCACCACCATGCTGCCTGATGGTTTACAGTTTTGCAAATAAAGTGTGTTTTAAGATGACCAACTGAGTGTAAAGCAGAGAATGTGCATTCAGTCTGGTTTCAGAGATAGTGCTTTGAGAAACATTGTTAGTGCGTAAGTATCAAAGCAGCCACAGCAGCGACTCTGTTAAGAACACTAAAGTCAGTCATTCGGTAGTTTATAATAATGCATATCAATGGGGTTACAGTTATTTCATACAGGAGACAAACGTATATGTGGATACTGATATAGATTCAACCAGTGTTGGACCTGTTCATATGAAACACCTGTCACTTATGTTTGTCTTGTATCCTGTGTTGACATCTAACGTGATTTAAGGTGTGCTTTTTTGTAATTTTAGGTTGAAGTGAATGAGTTATGTATACTCAATCCTGAACTTTTGGACCATATAAAGGCTGTCACTAACCATGCTGTAGACCCACCCTCTCCTGCTCCAGACAAGGTAAGTGTCACCTTTTGTTTCCACAAAAACAAAGCACTAGAGCCGCTTGTTGTCAGTGTCAACTGACTGGACCGTATTTCTAAGAAATGGAACATTTCCACGTTCAAAAGTTTAACTTCACAGTTGGGATCAAATAATCCCATCTTAGTTGCTTCCTTGTTTTGTCTCTCCTATGTTGCTCTCAAAAAATGTCAAAGTTAAAAGGGGTCATCATTGTAAAGCATCAAAATAAATGATGCAATGAGCAATTTTTTCCCCTCTCTCCTTTTGCCTTCTCTGTAGAAGTATGAGGGCCGTCTTCGCTCATCCAGGATTCCTGCCCCTGCCTCCTGTATGTAAATATATTGCACTATTTGTTTGTTTTAGATTGCCATGTCTTGTACTTTGGCTCCTAACAACTCGTTTCCTCCCAAAAGCCTCTGCTCCAGCAGTCAACAAAGCTGAAGAGTCAGGTCAGCATGGCATGCGTGCTCCTCTCACTAAAGCAAATGAGTCGTATTTTCTAATCACTCCTTTGTTAATGGGATCAGGGTGTAAGAGCAAAAAATCCACCATCCTTGGAGAGCTGAACTCTGCACAGATTTCGTCTTCTGATTATTCATAAAGAATCATCTGCTTTGGTTTAATGATTAGTGGCACAGGTATGCAAATGGACAACTTTGGGTACTGGGCAATTCTGGTCTGACAGTACTATCGTTTTTTGTTCATTAATCTGCTCCAAATTCTGGGAAGGAGCAAAGAGGAGAAGAAGGAATGTTCGGTATCATCACTGATAACACAACTACATTTGTAACAACATGTTTATCCAATTCGTGTCTAGTTGACTGTGATGATACAGTGCACTGATGTGAATATTTAATCACCTGGCTGCCACATTTTAGTTGATGCTTTTCTGCACCTGTGTTAATCTCTCATTTTTCACTTCTGTCACTGTGGTTGTCAGGAGGATCTTGTCTCCAGGGTGTCTGCAGGTCCTCAAAAAGTCTTGAATTCAATTTTATAAATCTTAGGCCTTAAATATAATGTCTTAGTTTTTTATTTTATAAAGCGTTTGTGAAAGTACACATCTCTGATGTTATAAAAAAAATTTGAACCTGATATTGTCTTTTACTTTATACTTGTACGTAGCCGTTGGCAACTCCCTCTAAGAACCATATTCCTTCATAAAACCTATGTCTGCAGAGGACCACATATATGTTCTTACTTTTATACTTACTTGCAATGCTTGAAAAAGAAAGGATTTGTCCAAAATCAGTTTTAAATTTGGTTTAATAAAAGACCTTGAAAGGGTCTTGAAAACTTTAAATGTAGATATCTGATACCTGTAGACACCCTGGTTTCATCTAATGGCAAATCTGTTGCTGTGGCCACTTTAGATTTGGTAGACTACAGACACATACATTTCCATTGTATTGGTTTGGATTACATTTAACCTCAGAAACCATGCAAGCAGTATTTAACAATACTTACTCCAAGGCTGCTTAAGACACTGACCCTCACTGCAGGTGTCTGACTTTGATTTGTCTTACTTTCAGTTGCCAATCGGTCTCAGACCAGGCAGACGTGTATGTTCCAGGCCCCGGCCCCTGTTCCAGCACCAGTCCCCACCTCTGAGTCTGCGCAGGTGAACCTAGAGACGGTCCACCCTGATGTCCCCTCTTCATCAGTCCTGACAAACTCTGGTTCGTAGTGATCTTCTGAAAACATAATTGAAAAAGAAGTTGTCCAAAAAAAAATCCCCCAAAATGATACATGCTACATATTTCTTTCATTTAACATTTGGGTGTTGTTGCCAGTGAGTGGTAATTATGAGACCTTACCATACAGTATATTTTGCACATCCGCATTGTTACACATTGGTTGTAGTATCACAAGATATGGAACATGTTGTTGCATGCACAAGAGTTGTTTTTCAGGTGTTTTCCATGTACAACATAATCTTTTACTGCTTTCTTTGTCCAGTTATTTCAAGACCTATGTCATCTTTATAAACCCAAGTGCACCCTTTTGCCTTATCTAGCGATTCCTAATCAGCAGCACAGAAAGAATGAGGCCAAACCAGCTCAGTCGCTGCCTTATGTGCGTGAGGCGAAAAAGGAAAATGATGAACCTGAGAGAATGCCACCTGCACCTGCAGTGAAAGGTTAGTGACAAATTTGAAATGATATCATGTGTATCCACTGCATTACTTCGACCTATAGATATAGATATATATATACAATTCAGAAAGAGAGAAAGCTCTACACATTAATGTCACAAGTGCAGCCTCCCTTCTCCTGCAAAGGATTGTTTTTTGTTTTAAATAAAGAGATGTGGAGATTAGGCACACATAGATAGTATCAGCTCTATGTTCTATAAGAAGAATGAACAGGTGGTGCATGTTATGAGACACATACCTGTTCTGTGATTAGACTTGTTAGATATTGCAGGGATGACAATAAGATGTGAGTTCACTGGGTGTTTATTTTCATCTGACACCATCATCTTCATCATCTCTGTGCACTGTAGGCAGAAGAAAATCAGTGGCTCCCCAAGAGATAAACAAAGGCAACAAAAGGCTGTCTTGCGTTGTAAAGCCCTCTAACGTTCAGACCAAGAGGGGAAAGGTGAGATATTTTTACTCATTCTGCCATTTATCTTTTTTTCAAAATTGGAAAACACATTTTACATTCTCTTGCATCCTTTCAGTTTGGGGAGGCTCCTCGACCAAACCAAAAGTTCTACGAGATGATCCAAGACTTCAGAGAGACCCTGGAAATAATCCCCTTAGCAACTACTGACCATGCAAGTTTGGACTCGAGATGAATGTGCCATGTATGAAGCTGTAAATTGGTGTGCCATTATAGCCCGTACTTACAGCATGTGTTCTGTTTTTACAGATTGAACCTCACAGGATTTGTGTGTGCGTTCGCAAGCGGCCCCTTAACAAACAAGGTATATTTGGAGTGATGTCTAACATCCTGTATACAGTATCATTTGAATTCAAAGGAGTAATTACAGTGTATGCTTGATATTTTCAGCCTGGTCCCTATTTTTCCATGTTTTTGTGTGTAAGTGACTAATAGGGAAAACAGGTTTGAAATTCGTCCGGAATATAGCGATAGGATACAGGCTGCAGTCTAACCACTCGGGGCATGTTTACACCATCAGTTTACATCCACCAAAAGTGCTTGATTATTAACCTAAGTGTCTGACAGCGTACGGAAGGTATCTCTACAGAGGTCGACTTTTTTGTTATAGAGTAAGATCCTTTTTGCATAACCAGAAACAGCCCAGAAATTGCTATCGTCAAACCCACCAGACTCCTTTTGAATAAACAATGATTTTATCATTTTAAAAACACTTTATTCATAGTCGACAGCAACAAAAGAAAATGTCTTGACCGTCTATCCACTGTTCCAACAGTTGCCAACTCTGGTTTGGTTGAAATAAACCTTTAACTCACCAGGTTAGACGTGAAGATATGCTGGCTCTATACACGCTAAAATTACTGTCTATTTAAATGGAGTCTGGTGTAACAAAAAGGTCTGTCTGCTTTCTACAAGTTGTCAGAAACTTAAAATAATCTGAGCCAGTCAGTGGCAAAAACAAGTGCTTTCAGTGGACATGAATAGACGGCGTGAACATGCTCCGAGTGGTTACATTGCAGCCTGTTTTGCGGCTGCAGCACTCTGGCTCAATGCTGGACCATTTTCAAAAATTCTCTTTAGTCACATAGACACAAAAACATGAGAAAATAAGGTCCACGGTGCAGAATACCAAACTTAACTCTTTAATGGCGTGCACAAAAATATTAGTTATCGTTTGACAGTTTTTTTTTAATGTTGAGTTTGACATTCTTGTGTATTTCAGAGATTAATAAAAAGGAGATAGATGTCGTGTCTGTACCTGGAAACGGTGCGCTGCTGGTCCATGAGCCAAAACAGAAGGTGGACCTCACCAAGTACTTGGACAACCAAATGTTCCACTTTGACTACTCCTTTGATGAGACCGCCACCAACGACCTGGTCTACAAGTAATGACCTGATTTGTCCTTTTTATTTAGCAGTAAGGTGGATCTGATAGCAGGTTCTTTGTTTTCTGAATTTCTTCCAAGGAGCTATATGATTTTAAGGGATTTCCCATCTGTCAGTTCACAGGAGCAAAAAAAAAAAAATTCAACATGTAGGAAAGTGTAGATAGCTGTCTTTAATATCATAGTATTTGTTCAGTAATGTGTCTGAAATATTAATCAGGAGTAAGAATGTTGTAAACTTAAGGTGCACAACTCATTATTCTCTCTTTCTTGGTTTTGCAAAGGGTTCAAATTATGACAGGTGTTATTTGTTTTCTTCAGATTCACAGCCAAACCTTTGGTGCAGTCTATTTTTGAAGGCGGCATGGCAACATGTTTCGCCTATGGCCAGACTGGAAGTGGGAAGACTCATGTAAGCCTCCGCATGCTGTGTGGCATTGACTTATCTTGAAGCAGCGTTTTCATTTTGAAAGTTTGATATATTTCTTTTTTGTTTGTTTGGCACATTTTCTCCCCAGACGATGGGAGGAGATTTCACAGGGAGGCAGCAGAACAGTGCCAAAGGAATCTACGCCTTGGCAGGTAGGACCACAACCATCCACCCACCATGCACTTAACATAGAAGAAATATTTAATATGGTTATCACATTAAGATGATAAATAGGACTATTCAGTTTTTTTATCTTCATAATACGTATTTGATCCAGTTGATTCAGGAGTACTATCTTTCCCTTCTAGCCCAGGATGTTTTCGCCTATCTGAACCACAGGAGGTATTCTAACCTGGAACTCTGTGCCTATGTGAGCTTCTTCGAGATTTACAATGGAAAAGTAAGAAAACCTTCCACCTTCATGGACATATTTACTGGGATTGTTTGACATAAAAAACAGCTTATGAAAGTTATTCTAAAAGAGAAGCACACTTATCGATTTAGGTGTATGACCTGCTGAATAAGAAGGCAAAGCTCCGTGTGCTGGAGGATGACCGGCAGCAGGTCCAGGTGGTGGGCCTGGAGGAGGTCTATGTGGCCACAGCAGAAGAGGTCATCAAGATGATCCAGGCGGGCAGTGCGTGCAGGTAGTTAAGTGTTAAGAATGTGTATGTTACGATCTGTGTCATTCTTCAGCTCAGAAAACATATAACATTAACTCGGCTGCCTTCCCTTTCCCTCTGTCCGACTCTTTCTCCAGAACATCAGGCCAGACCTCCGCCAATGCCAACTCATCCCGCTCTCATGCCATCCTGCAGATTGTCCTGCGGCGCAATAACCGTGCCAACATGCTGCATGGCAAGTTTTCCCTCGTCGATTTGGCTGGCAACGAGCGCGGCACAGACGTCAGCAGCAACGACCGCAGCACTTTAGTGGAGACTGCCGAGATCAACCGCAGCCTGCTGGCTCTCAAGGTATACTATCGCTGCTGTGGAGGTGTGCACCAGGCCCCCAGGAAGTCCGTCACATGATGCCTTTGGGCCCAAAAAGACTTTTTTCCATAGACTTTCATTGGGAAAGAGATGTCTGTAAATCGGTAGATAGATTTTTTTGAGTGTCACAACCTCCGCAAGATGACACATTTCACTACCGGGATTTGATCCATTCGATCAGATAACTTTTCCAAAGTCTAGAAGAGCTCCACAATAAAATTAGTTTGTCCCCATCAAGTTAGTGGAGGGCTAATTTGGAAGTTAGCCACTCAGCTGGCAAAGTTTCCGGAGTGTTCACTCTGGGCAACATGATGCAGAAGATCTGGGTCATTTTATACCTGCAAAGTTGAACTTTTTTGGCTTCATTCATTCAAGTAACTGTGGCTGAAGAGTGAGAAGAGACAGTTTTCTCTCCTTCATCTCAGCTAGGGTGCTTATAAAACAATCCTGGCACTCAAGTTGAGACTGTAATGAAGATTGAAATGCTTCAATTGCTTAAGTCAAGACATTTAATAGAAAATCACACCTCACATGCTCTTGTGTCCTGTAGGAGTGTATTCGTTCACTGGGAATGAACAGCGATCACATTCCTTTCCGGATGAGCACTTTGACCAAAGTCCTCAGGGATTCCTTCATCGGAGAAAAGTCCAGGACCTGCATGGTACGTTAAAATTTACTCTCTGTTTGGCTTTTGGTGTATCATGGTCTGACTGCAGTGTAATGAATGATGTAGATGCACGGCATACAAGAACAAACTCTGTTGTGAATATCAATATGCATGTGCGTGCTGAAATACAGAATGTATGCACATGTGTTTTCCCTTTGTTATTCCATAGATCGCGATGGTGTCACCAGGCATGACTTCATGTGAATACACGATGAACACACTACGTTATGCTGACAGGTACATATTTAGCTTATATTATAAAGATGATGTCATGATTGGGAGTGTATAACTCTTGAAACGTTTGCCAATCTTTCACAGAGTGAAGGAACTGAAAGGCAACGCCAAGTCCAATGGAGCGGCTAAGGCAGAAGAGCCTGTGAATAGCTCCACAGAGGAGGTCAGCTTGCACAAGATCAGTCCAAATCAAAATTGATATGGATTACATTGTATGTTTAATTTGCTAAAGTTTTTGCTGTTCTTGTGTGTTGTAGGAATCTGTTGAGGACACCAGTGTATATGATGCCATAACCCAAGTGGCAGAGCTGGAGGAGAAGGTTTACACGGAGTTCCAGGTAGAGTATGCTCAAAACTGCTCTGCTGTATGGCACACAAGACAAGTAATAATGCATTTCTTTTTTTTTACTGGCTTTGTAAGTCATCACACTTTTATCATGTTTGTGTCTCAGAGGGGTAATGAACTCTTCAATGCAATGGGGCAGACCTCGTACAATATCGAGGCAGGACTTCCAGACCTGATGGATCACGCAAAGAAATTACTGGGTTTGTACAAACACCAGCTTGATCTGCTTTTTTCTTTCTGTCCATTAGTTTAGCATTATACTCCAAACTAAATCAGATTTAGCCCTCTTGGACTGCTGCTGAACACGACGCAGCAAACTGTACCATTATTCCCTCTGACACTTGAACTTTGTTTGGTCACTTCCTTATTATAAAGCCCAAACCTCACCTGAGCACTGTGGGGATACACTCACATAAACGTCCCTAAGGAGGACACAGGAGAAACCTCTTGCTGACCGGATCAAATGTCATGACAAGTGCCAGGACAAATCTGCATTATATAAAGAACTTTAATCTGTGTGGATACATGTGCTTTACCATTTATTCATTCTGTTCGATCTGTCACCCACAGACACGGTACTGGCTTTGCAGACTGCCGTGGACCAGGAGAGAAGGGCAAGGCAAAGCTTCTAAGAACCCACTGACCTACTCATAAATTGCATTTATTGAAAATGTCTGTTTTAACAGCTTGATTTTAATGTGTTAATGACTGTACTAAATAAATAAAAAGTTTTGGGACACTACTTCATTTAACATATTTAACTCTCCAGGAATTTCTTATATATTATTAGTTTAATGCTAATGTGGACGCAGCAGCAGAAATTCAGTTAAAATTATTTAATTTTACTACTTTATTACCGTTTGAAGTAACCGTACTTTCCTTGAGAATGAACATTTTATGCTTTGTAATTTTACCTCGCTACCTTTTTTAGGCAAATATACTTTGACTCGATAATTACAGTAATTAATTACTTAGATTAGTGATACAACTTCAATCAGTAAATAAATTATGATGTAGAGATTAAAACAAAACATTATTGGTCCCCAGCAGATGAAGTAGTTAAAATTAGGTTGACCTCTACCAGCTTCAATAACTGATGTACACATTATGCATAAATAATTACAATCCAATTATATAATATAATATAATATACTCACTGCCTAATGAGTACTTTTAGTTTTGGTACTTGAAGTATATTTCTGTGGCAATATCTTTATACTTATACTCAGGTAAACATTTCAACTTATGACTTTTACTTGTAGCAGAATATTTCTACACTGTGAAATTGTATTTACCTAAGTACGAGATCAAGAGAGCACAAATGGCTCCAGTCAAAAGAATTTATTTTATCAGATATTAAACAAGGCAGACTAGAAAACATGCACCACCCATAAACTCCAGTGAAAATGTGGCATGTGTATAGCATATTAATTTAAATGAAATACAGTAGTTAATTTTTGGACACAAATAAAGCTGTAATTGAACAGTTCGGCTTGAGTATTTGGACTGAAATTGAGTTGGCAGTTCATGGATTGGCCCCTTTTCCACAACAACAAAAAAAGTAAGAGGAGAGAGGTGATTGTACTTACAATATCCTTGTCTGCAAATTTCACCAACCGTCTATATTCTTTTATAATGTTTTTACATTAATATGTGTTACACTGAATAATGCCTTCAAACGGCCCAGATCGAGCTGACGTGGGGAGCTAGCGAAAGACTTAGGATGTGTTACTACATTTGGTTTTCAAAATAAGGTGTTATAAAAAAACACAACATTATGGATTAAGTGTAGAAAGTTTCTTTTTACCAGACAATGAGTTTTTAAGGAGATGTAGTTTACCTTGACATGTTTCTACTGTCACTTGTTCAGTCTTGTTCAGAAACGTCATCTGACGTGCGTCGTGACGTGTCTTTATCAGCTGGTAGTGTCTCGGAGGCGTGACCAGCCTGGCAATCCGACAGATTTGCCAGGCTGGTCACGCCCCCCCGCTGCCCGGTGTTCTTTGGAGGAGAGAGTCCCAGGTGTGCGACAGCATGAAAGTCCCCTCATACCGGTTGATGGTGTCCCTGCTTTCCGATCCAATGACTGGAAATCGGATCGGAAAGCAACAAGTTCAAATGTTGGATCAGGGAGGCCATAGAGAACAAAATGAACCTAATTACACTACAACATTATGGAAATACAATAAATTGGATTATATTTAGTAAAAGTGTAAAATGAATTACCGGTGTCCCTTATACATTAAAAAATAAATACTACTAACTTGTGAGGAATATGTCTTTATTCTTTAATTTTTGGGTTGCTGGAAATAAAAATTAATAAGATCATTCCTGATGTTGAGGACATGTCTGACAACATAGAGACACAAAACTCAAGTATTTTTATTGTATCAGTATTTAGAGATATTCCAAAGCAAAAGTCCCATATTACTACCTTGAAATATGAAACTTGTGCCATGAAAAAATAAATAAATAAATCAAATTGGGCCCCTGAACTAAAATGAGTTTGACACCCCTGGCGCATACAGTCTTGTAGTTTAGTTCAACAGCCACACCAGTAGGGGGCGCTAAAGGTAGGAACCAGCTGTGTTTAAAATCCGAGATTAGAGCAAGAGGAAAAGGAGGGACCAACCAGTAACGACATGTACGGATTAACCTGCCGCTCCATCCGACAGAGTGAGGAAACAAGCCCCGGAACGGATGGCGATGAAGTGGTTGCGTTTTTCGCTCCTCGTCTTGGGGGTTTTCTCGCTGTGCTGTGCCACGTCTGGTGACAGCAGCGGCGTGAAGAAGATGAAGATGCAGTTTGCGACGGGTCCACTCCTCAAGTTTCAAATATGGTAAGCAAAACAGCGAAAATCTGGCGAGTCATTGCGAGCTAGCTAAACTCCCCGGCTAACAACATCGTAGGCCGAAAAAATGACAGAAGCTAACTAACGTTAACCGGAGGGTCGTTTATATTATAAAACAGGAGAGTGAGCGGTAAAGTCACGTTAGTTATAAAGTAGCTGAACTGCTCAACCATTGTCTAATCACACGAGTAGAATAAATGTAGAAGTTTCTGCTTTTTTTTGGCGACTTCTCGTGAATATTTCGACGAAAACATGGCCCCGCTTCCGCTGTCAAACATGCGAGTTAATGTTAAATCCAGTGATTGTATCTGGTGTCCACGAGTTAACCTTGCATAACCCTGGTCTCTACATTGTACTAGCAATATTAATATTTAAAGTCACGTTAAAAATACTCCGTCTCTCTGGAAATACTTTATCTTATTTAAACAATTTGCCCTTGAATTTTCCAAACCGTGCCGAAAAGTTAAAGCCAACCTAGCTATCGTTAGCTAATTTACATCAACATTAACAATATGTGTTCTTCGTTAATGTCTATGTGTTGACGTATGCCAATAAGAGTGTCATGTGATTTCAAGATGCTAATATGCAAAGAAGTGTGACTTAAGTAAACAAGACAAAATATACATTTGCATTGTAAATTGCTGCTTTTATCTTAACCAAACATGCAGCAAACAGGAGCATGTAGTGTTGTAATGTAAAGGAGAACACCACATAGATTAATAACTCTTGTGTTATTTTCATGGCCTAGGAAAGCTCAGTCAGTATTTGTGAACATCCGTTACTCTCTGTCAAAGCCAGAAACCAGAGAAGTAAGTCTCAAACTTGTGATGTTATAAGGCAGTGGCTCTCAAATGGTGTGCCAACATGCTAATGTAGGTGAGCCGTGGGATTTTGTGATTACCACACATTGTTGTTGCAGTATTCAAATGGACCTATACAGAAAGTTATGATTGAAATTTTAATTGACTGTATAAGTGTATGTGCACACCCATTTCCTCATAAAGAGGCAAACTGTAGTAAAAAACTGTCATTTAATTTCAAAAACCTTCACAAGCAACCTATTTGTCCCATTTGCACGTGAGAATAACAAGTGTGTGACACATCAAAAGCCCTTATTGGCAGCCAGTGTGAGGGATGATAACATTTAAAAGGAAAAAACAGTGAGCAGGACAATGGATCGCTTTACTGTACGGAGCAAATTACAATAAAGCACCAGCGAGTCAATAGACAGTATCATGAAAGCTGTCTTTTTGGTCCTATATCATGATAAAAGTGATAACACACATTATACAAGCAACTGTGCACAGACATAAATTAGGGCTGCAACTAACGGTTATTTTCATGGTCGACTAATCTGTCGATTATTTCTTCGATTAGTCGACAAATCATTTTAGCGGAAACTGTGTTACATTGTTGAAATATGTCGGTCTGTCTCTCCCAAACCTCAAAATGATGTCAATTAATGTCTTGTTTTGTACGCACGCCAAAGGGTTTTAGTTCACCATCATGGGAGAGTGTGTAAAGCTCTCAATATTTGAATGTAAGAGTATTCAATAATAAGAGTATGCAATAAGAGTATTTTAGGGTACTTTTACAGTACTTTTCTATGAAAAATGACTCAAACCAATTAGTTGACTACTAAAATAGTCACCGATTATTTTAATAGTCGTTGATTAGTCGACTAATCGTTGCAGCCCTAATATAAATACAGGTGTGCTTTGAGATTTTGGCTTGCCCTTTGGTCTGCCTTGTGCACTAAAAGTTTGAGAACCACTGTTATAGTGTAAAAAGTCTGGAGCTGCTCTATAGACAATGAATGGGACCCTGATTTTGTGGACTCACAGAATGTTTGTTTTCTTTTACCAAATGTGCTTATTCTATTGTAGTGTTCTCAGTTGTGAAACAGAAAATGTACCCAAATATTCACAACAATATTTTTGGACTGGACATAGGAATAACATGTATACATTTTGAAAATGGGTGTAGCTCCCCTTTAAAGTAGAATGACGTGCTGCTAACTGGAATTTCACACTACCATGAAAACTTTCCACTAAGAAGAACAATGACCTACAGATGAAAGTGGGATTCAAATGTGCTAGATCTCAAGGCTAAATTCACAATCTACCCTCAAGATCTCTGTATTGTTATGGCTGCCTTTTGTCCCCGTTTGATGTCGCAGCTGCACACTGTGAATGTCTCCTCTAACAGTGCGTTTGTCTCCTTGCAGCATTTCCTGAGGGTACAAGCGGGTGTTTGAGGAGTACACGCAGGCCTTGTACCAGCGGTACCCAGACATCCGCATTGAAGGGGAGAATTATCTTCCTGTGCCCCTCTATCGGTAAGAGAGAGATTGTCTGCCTTGTTACAAGTGGATTATATCCAGCTTTATTAAAGCAGCCTGAAAGCTGCCTGGGATTAGCTGTGATTCGACTGAGGAAGTGGAATTCTCAAGCAGTCAGGCTTATGTGGCTGTGGATTTATCTTTGGTAGTTTTGTGCACATAGACGAAACTGCTGGCCCTAAAAATGGCTAAATGTAGGTCAAAGGTGCATCATATCATTTAGTTCAATAATTAGTTTTTTGGACTTTATATCATTTGAGCTACTGCAAGAATACTAAGACTACATCCCACAACATACTGTGCAATTATTCCCAATTTACAGTGTATTTTTTTCCTGTGTGTCACTACAGTACGAACCAGTACATGTAGGTGTAGAGAACAAGATGTGAAGTCATTCAATAAGGGGGTAACACTCTGGGAACTTCAGGGTGTCCAACAATGATAATCCCCCCCTGTTTCAGCTTTCTTTTACTGGCTGCCCGTCTGTGTCAGAACTGATTTTAAAATGTCAGTCTTTACTTTTAAGGCCCTTAATGGTATGGCACCAAGCTACCTGTCTGAGC